AGCCGCCGCTACCACTAGGCCGAGCGGCAGCCGAGCCCCTCGGGCGCTGGGAGGGGAGGGCAGGGAGTCTTCGGCAATGGCGACGGCCCCGGCTGGAAGGGAAGCGGAACCACCGCCGCCGCTGCGCGTGGCCACAACCCCGGGGGCGGGCGACGGCGGGGAGCGGGGATGGGCGGGGCCAGGACACCGCCCCTCCCGGCCCGAAGCCTGGAGCTCCAAGGAGGGGGAGGGCACCGCCTTCCAATGGGCGGGCTCGCGTGGGGGCTGCTGGGAGTTGTAGTCGGGGCTGTACACAGCTTCACTCTCTTTTGGGGCAGGGGCAGGGTATGCTTTATATTGAGAGACAGCCAGTCCCTAATCTAATTAAACATTGTCTCCAGTCAGTTCTGTGCCAACCAAAGATGCCGACAGGTCTGCTACCATATGAATCTGCTGCAGGACATGTGTTTCTGGGAATTCATCCATTATCCATTTTGCTTTTTACCTACAAACTACTATATTTTGCTGCTAAATTAAGTCCCACCTCCTTACAAATTAAGACCTCCATGTTTTATCCTTGGAGGAGTTATCAATGTATTCACTAATACTACGAATACTTGAGTGTTTAATATGCACCAGGAACTGCTAAGGCATCAGGGACAAGAATGAACACAAGTCACTTTGCCTTTGTGGAACTTACAAATATAAAAACACAATAATTAAAATAGTGATATCTGGTCTGAGGAAAAACTGGGGAGATTGCTTTGAAGAGCTTGACCAGTGAAGGCATCTTTAAGGAGGTAACATTTAAGCTGAGAACAGAGAAAGAGAGCCATGAGAAGCACCCAGGAAAAGCATTCCAAGCAGGAGGAGGAAGAAAAGTGCTTGCTAAGGTCAGTTAAGAAGTTCTGTGTAGCCCAGCCAGCATGGCTCAGTGGTTGAGCATGTACCAGTGAACCAGGAGGTCAGGGTTAGATTTCTGGTCAGGGCACATGCTTGGGTTTCGAGCTGGATCTCCAGTAGGGGGCATGCAGGAGGCAGCTGATCAGTGACTCATCATTGATGTTTCTCTCCCTCCCTCTCCCTTCCTCTCTCTGAAATCAATAAAAAAATAAAAAAATAAAATAAAGGCCTGTGTAGCTGAAGCTTAGGGCATGAAAGAAGGGTAGTGTAGTATGAAAACACTAGATTCAGGTGAAGAAGGATCTTGAATGTGGTAAGGAGTTTGGACCTTATTCCAAGAAGCTATTAAGTTTAAGCAGGGAAGTAATGTTATCTGGGTTTAAGATCACTAGATTGCTATGTGGAGAATGGAGTACAGAGATGCAAGAGTAAAAGGGAAATGAACTAGGGAGGCAGTAATCATCACTGATACAAGGGAGATAGCAGTGGAAATGGAGAAAGGTAGCCAGACTGTGCTTATCTTCAATGTAGAGCAAAAAAATCTCAATTGATATGGAGAGTACAAAAGAAAAGAGCAGTATGGCACACTATTGGATAACCTTAAAAACAATCCCATTATTGACCTTGGCCAGGTACTCAGTTGGTTAGAACACTGTCCCTATATGCCAAGGTTGTGTGTTTGATCCCTGGTCAGGGCACATATAAGGAGCAACCAATGAATGAGTGGAACAAAAAAAATCAGTGTTTCTCTCTTCCTTCCTCTCTTTCACTTACCAGGATAAGTAAAAGAAATCTTCTCAAAACGTATCAAAGTGAGCCTGGCCGGCATGGCTCAGCAGTTGAGCACCGACCTATGATCCAGAAAATCGCTGTTCGATTCCCGGTCAGGGCACATGCCCAGGTTGCAGGCACAATCCCCAATGGGGGCGTGCAGGAGGCAGCTGATCCATGACACTCTCATCGATGTTTCTATCTCTGTCTCCTTCTCCCTTCCTCTCTCTGAAATCAATAAAGACACATTAAAATATATATATATCAAAGTGAAACTGCAAAATACCAAAGATAAAGCAACCAGAAAGAAGAGGCATATCCTATAAAGAAACAACTGCAACGATGGTTGCCAGTTGACAATGAAAAAATATTTTCAAAGTAACCAAGAGAAAATAACCAAATTTAGAAGTATATACCTAGCTAAATCATCAGTCATATGAGTGAAGGGAAAATAAAGATATCATCAAACAAAAACAGATATGTTACCAAAAATAGAGACCTACTAAAGGAACTCCTTACCAGAGGGAAAAGGGGGTTGAGGGAGGTAGAAAATGGTATGGGGGGATAAATGGTGATGGAAGGAGACTTGGCTTGGGGTGGTGAACATACAATATATAGATGATGTATTATAGAATTGTGTACCTGAAACATATATAATTTTATTAACCAATGTCACCCCCAATAAATTCAATAAAAAAGGAAATAAAGGAACTCCTTCAAAACACGTATTTCAGGCCCAGCCAACATGGCTCAGTGGTTGAGCCTCTCCATGAACCAGATCATGGTTCAATTCCCAGTCAGGGCACATGCCTGAGTTTCAGGCTCAATCCCCAGTAGGGGGCGTGCAGGAGACAGCTGATCAATGACTCATCATTGATGTTTCTCTCTCTCTCCTCTCCCTTCCTCTCTCTGAAATCAATAAAAACACATATTAAAACAAACAAAACATATACTTCAGGAAGAAACTGATTCCAGAAGTAAAGTCTAAAATGCAAAAAAATCACACAGATAGCTAAACTTACCATCCTATCACCAATTAGGCCAATGCTGAAGGCCAGGCTTGGTCCATATTACTTCATTGTCTCTCAAATTGTCAGCCTACCAAACCCTCCTACATTCAATAACCTGCCAATAGCATATTTTGTGAGTTTGGTAAATAATACTGATAGGTGTTGGTTACCTCATTCTAATTTATCTCCATATCATATCAATCGGAATCAATTATCAAAATGTAGATGAGTAGTTTGAAATGAATAGAATGTCTGACTAGAATAATCCTTAAACTCATTATATTCTGAAATAATTAAAGCTGCAACTGATCTTTCCAGTTCCCAAGCCATGTATGTACCATCCTCCATGAGACATAGTTAAAATATCTAAGTTCCTGGTAGAGTGGCTGAAGCACACACACACACATGTCTCTGCCACCATCTTAGTTGAGTATCCTGTCTCTGTTCCTTTCACCCAAAAGAACATAACACAATACTTTAAGAAAAATAAACCATAAAAATGAAACAAATACTGAATCATAATAACCAAAAGAACAGTACCCATTTTCTTGGCTTTAAAAAAAAAAAAAAAGACCATAAATAGATTTACAAAACTGGTTTTAAAGAATAAAGTGCTTATTCATTTTTAAAATATCCAAAGAATATACAGAGCTCAAAACCAGAAATTTTCTATCAAAATATCATCTGCAACCACTTATTAGGCAAGAATGGTCATATCGAAGTATTCTTCACTCATATTCACTCACATTAGCTGTATAAAGAAGTAAATGGCTAAAACATGTCCCAAGCCACAATCTCAAATATTACCCTGAAAAATTGTTTAAATACTAATGAAATTTGGTTCTGATGTGCAAAAGAAAAAGGCACACACACGTGCACACACACACAAACTCTTCAAAAGTTAAACAGCACCACGTTAACCCTATCTGTCAAACCATATTAAAAAATGTTGTCTGTTGATGTTACTGAATTTTAACTGACACAAAATTCATTTCAATGCCATTATATTAATTCCACTGCAAAAGAAATGCTTGTAAAACATGGATTTCTTTCTCACAAGAAAACACTAAACAAATATAAAACTAGACTGGGTTGAAATTTTAGTCATTTAAAGATTTCTAACATTTCTGCTTTATGGCACTGGGTTGCCTTTTTCAATACTTAAATTCTCAAACACATCTTCAAAAAGTAATGTTATGACTAGTCAAGCCATATATGTCAAATTATAAAAGATTTATTCCCATAAAAACACCAGAATGTTTTACGAAATTAAGCAGATATAGCATATAAAAATGTATATCACATCCCATTACTCTATTTAAAACAAACAATGCCAACATACCCCAGTTTATTGGCTTCTATTTTGGAACATGTGTGTCCTAAATAAATTGCCCTAAATAAATATAAGGGCATGTTTGCCCTTTTATTTTTTAATTAGCTTATGGCACTTACTTTATTTTCTATTTTTTTCCCAAAGAAAAATAAATCAAGACCTTTTCCAAAAACAAAATCAGCAATGTTATTTTTAATACAGACATGGTACAGAATGTTTCATTAAAGAAGGGGAGAGGTTCTAGTTAAATAAAATTTAAAGCTCTTATTTTCCCCAAAATAAAATTACTAAATTAATGTCTCAAAAGAAAACATAACATAGTAAAAGCTTTAAATCACACCATTATTCACCACAGGACTTAAGATTTACCAATTATATTCTCCATCACTTTGGCAAAAGGATGAACTTTTTAAAACAGTTTATAAACCTAACATAGCAAAGACTGTATACATCTCCATATTGTACTTTTTATATACAAGAATAAAACACTAATGTCAAGTGTCTTGTATGCACTAAGAATAGCACAAATTAGTCATAATTAAACTTAATGCAGAAGCTGATGTGAGGAGTAAAATGTAGAAATGTAACACATGTATGTACAGAATGCTGAGACTGTCTTAAAAAACTTTATGTACGTAACAATATACTGTATGACTTTAAACTTTTTCACATAGTTGTGTTTATTAATACAGCCTTTTGGTTCTAAATCAAGATCTTTTATTTTTTAAAAATCACCTGAAGATACAAAACACATTTTTTGTAAATGTACAACTTAATAAAATATACACGTTCCGAACTGTCTTCCTGACAAATTCAGTACTAAATCAGAATTAAATCTTAGTGCTTAGTTTCATCAAGCCCTTTGACAATGCATATGTTCAAAAGCAATATAAATTATAAAGGGAGAATGGAAATGTTTTAAAGAATAATCAACTTTGATATTAATATTTTCTTAGCTGTTCTTAATGATTTTCTTTGAAACTCTAAATGACTTCACTATTCTCATAAAAATAAGATTTAAATAAACTCATTCATCCAAATTATTTTATTCTTATTTATAATGATTCTCTCAATTTTTAGCTTAAATTGAAATGTTTCTATTTACAAACTGACAATAATTTGTCTCTAATACATAAAGTACTTATTTTTGTAACCCAAATGAAGATAAAGTGACTTCCCACAAAATAATAATTTAACAGAATTAAGTTTCCTCTACTGGCACTAGATGCTTGAAGATTATCAAAGGTCTACATAACAGAACACTAAATTTTGGAATTAGTTGAGAATGATCCAAAATTTCCTCCAGTAAACATAATTGAGCCAGTAAACAAAATGAAGACAAGACAAAAGTAATGACAATTCTAGAAGAATACTTCTAGTCACAAATGATTAGGTCTTATTTAGGTTTATGGAAAGCATTTAATTGCATAAAACTTATAGGGGAAAATGGCCATATTTGAAAACAGCCACAAGGATCAAAGTAGAACACAGGATGGTAATAAGCAGAGTCACAGAACATACTAAAGAAGTATGTATAGTCAGTCCCACTGGAACCTGCAGAGTCACATTCTTATATACCTACGGAGAGAGATGGAGAGAGAAGTTAGAGACATTTAAAATGCATGTTCTAAGTCATTTCTTTATTTTTAATTTTTTTCTTTAAATATCTTTTAGCCAATTCTACACTACCTGTATCATTATTGTTTGAATGATTCTTTTGGATTGAACATTTCATTTAATGTAATAAAATCAGACTCAATTCCCACAATAATTCTTAAATTCTCATTAGTTTTGACTTTTTCTACCTTTTACATAGAATTGAGTATATTCTTTTTAAAAAATGCAGGCTAGCCCAGTCAGTGTGCCTCAGTTGGTTGAGCGCCATCCCATGTACCAAAAGGTTGCCAGTTTGATTCTGGGTCAGTGCACATGCCCAGGTTATGGGCTCCATCCCCAGTAGGGGGCGTGCAGGAGGCAGCCAATCGATGTTTCTATCTCTTTCCCCATCTCCCTTCCTCTCTCTCTAAAAAAATCAATTGAAACTTTTTTTAAGTCAATTGGTTTTACAAAAAAACAACAACACACCAGCTATATCCCAATGTCACTTCTGTGATCAATTTAACATTTACACCCTCTTACTATGTTTCATATTAGAATACAGAATTCTAAGTTGAAGCCCTGAAGGAAAAATATTAAAACAAAAATAAAACTAAAGTATCCATTCATTCCTATTTTTTGTTTGTTTTGTTAATAGTCACCTGAGGATATTTTTTTGCATTAATTTTTAGAGAGAGTGGAAGGGAGGGGGAAAGACAGAGAGAGAGAAACATCAATATGAGAGAGACAGATCAGCTGGTTGCCTCTCACATGAGCCCTGACTGAGGCCGGGGATCCAGCCTGCAACCTAGGTATGTGCCCATGACCGTCCCTTCAGTCCATAGGCCAAACCTGCCAGGGCCATTCATTCCTGTTTGCTCTTTCTCTCCCTAAACAGTTTTTAAAAGTTTGTTTTTCACAAATTACACAATTGAATGTGTCCTTTACTGTTAACACAACATCAAATTAATTGTGATAATGACTAAATGCAAAAGTACTCCTATGTTCAACCTGGTTTCTATTTTCTATTTGGTTTTGAAGCTAAAGGGTTCAATTAGAAACTTTGGGAAATTTTATGGTTTAAAAATAAGTTTTTAAAAACATTAAAATTTGATAATTTGGGGATATTTTTATTTTTGGCTTCTTTTTATGAATAACTGGATTATAATTTCACATCCAAAAAAGATTATGTTACCAATACAATCTGTAACAAAGTGCTATCTGAAAATTATCTTTCAAAATACGGCATCTTAAACAAAGAAGCCTTGGTATGAATCACCACCTTAGTAATGGTCACCTAGAACACAAAGTAAAGGGAAAAAAAATCAAACTGCTTAAGCATGATCTCTTATTTCAAGTTACATGATCTTAAAGAGAATTGAATTCAAAATATTTTTAATGAGGTAATTACTTATTTTATAGCCATGCACACTACCAATTTTTTAAATCAATAAATCATAAACAAACACTAATCATACTCTTCATTCACATAAGAAAATCAAATGCAATTCTCCAAATGTACAGTATTTTAGAGTTTGAAAAAAATTAAGGTAACATGTGTGATATTGTGATTTATAATAATAGGACATACATATTTGGTTTTCATTCCCCTTTCCGGCTCAAAGCTCCCCAAACTATTGGAATTTCCTAAATGTTGAAAGTGAGCATGGTGTCTTTTATGTTGGTGAAGTAACTTTTGAAAAGTACCTAAGGATGAGAGCTGCTTACCAATGGAGCTAACCATGTGACGAGAGGATTGGAACTTTCAGTCCCGCCCCCAAACCTCCAAGAAGGGGAGAGGGACGGAGGTGTTGTAAAAAGACTTAACCACTCTGAAGAGAGGAAAGAAGTAGACTATGTTAACTAAAGAAGGTAAGAAGAAAACTGTAGACTTCTTAGACAAAACTAGTGTTAATGAAGTATTAATACTTACCTAATTTAATAACTAAAAACAAGTTGGGAGGTCAAAACTATAAAAATGGCCTGAAACAGTCTAGATTTAGATATATAATAGCAATACAACTATCCAAAAACTATCACAGTTGAAATCATACTACTTTTGAGTTTTATTTTCCTTTTTTTTTATTTATTCTGTATATTATAATGAAGTTAACTAATCTATTTTGTTCAAAAATTAGTAAGAAGTTTTAAATAGTCTGGCTGGCATGGCTCAGTGGTTGAACATTGACCATGATCCAGAGGATCAAGGTTTAGTTCCAGTTAGGGCACATGTCCTGGTTGCAGTTTCAGGCTAGGTCCCCAGTAGGGGGAGTGCAGGAGGCAACGGATCAATGACTCTCTCATCACTGATGTTTCTCTCTCTCCTCCCTTCCTCTCTCTGAAATCAATAAAAACATGTTTTTTAAAAAATTCTAAATAAAATAAAGTTTTAACCAGATGGACATACCACTGTTTTTCTTAGCCATTTCACACCTTTAGCCTATCAGCTATACTTAAGCTCTGGACCAATGAGGCATGGGACTAACACTAAATCTCCAGCCCCTAAATTAAGTGATTCTATGACTATATATAAAGGAGGAACCACTGTTGCCATCTGCAGCAAAGAAATAACACTAAAGACAAACAAAAACACAGCTTTCTATGGTAAAATATAAAATTCTAATCTCTTAAATGTGGCAGAAACATTATAGAATTTTAAATGAGGCAGCAAGATCTAAAAACATAAAATATTAACTTACTGATTTATATTTCATATTGTTCCATTGGCAAATATCCTTATTCTTCAAAGTACAAGGAGCTGCCACTTTTGACTGAGCCCAGCATTTCAAAATTGGAAACTCTGAGAAAAAGTGGTAGAAGATCATATCACAAAACCTGTATCTGGACTCTGGACTAGAGGTTAGGCCAATCTGTCATGTTGGGATATGAATATTCAAACATTTTATTACACAATGTACATGATTTAGATTCATCTATTGCATGTTTTATTTTAACAGTCTGAAATCTTATGAAATTTTATAATTTTATGAAATTATAAAAACTGTGCTTGACTTAATAAATCCCATTATACTAGGGGCCACTTTTTGAATATTTTAATTTTTTTCTTGAAGAATAACATATATTTAGAACAGTGAACAGGTCCTAAGCATACAACTCAATAAATTTTCAAGTGTAAACAAACCCATATGAAGAACACTCGGACCAAAAACCAAACAATACCAGAACCCCAGATGCTCTCTGAGGAGGGGACACATTTTCAAACTTTATTTAGGATAAGTCAATACCATTAACAGAAACAGAAAACTAGGTTGGATGAACAAAGCTAACAAAGTTGAACGCTTCTTTATTTTTTTCACCATGATATATATGATGGCAGCAAATGTATGGATTAAAAACTTCTATCTACCAATCTTTAGTAACAGTGCTACTAACTTTTGCCAACATTCTAACCAGCCCAAAGTTGGAGACACAAAGAACCAAAATCTGAAAGGGGTTTCTTAAATTAAAGTCTTGATTCTAGGAAAACTGAAAATGGTGAAAGCATAGTTTTTTATATTTACTCAAATCCACACATAAAAACAGAACACTACACACACCACCAAAAACTCACGGACTACATTTATAGCAAAACTAGGTGACAAAGCACCCCTTAAACACCAAATACATGAAAGTGAAAACAAAACACCAACACCTGTAAGTACTGTAATATCAGCATGAATCAACAGAAAACAGCAAAGGGGCAGTGAGGCCCAATGGCTGAAAAAAGAAACGCACCAGACACTATACATCTACTCATAAAAAAACACAGCACTACCTATAGGAAGCAAACCTGAATCTGATCACACCCCTGGAGCCAGCTGCCAATTTCCAGGAAATAAAAAGGTCAGATAAACTGCATGAGCACTATCGCCAAAACCCCAACTCTGAGAAAAATTGTAAATGGGCGAGACTAAGCTATAGTAACTAAGAACGCCCACTTGGGTGACAAAAGTATAAAGGAATATAAGGAAGTGATTAAATGTCAGGATAGTGGGTTTAGTCTTAGGAGAAAGGCAGAGGCTATGCTTGAGACACGATACTCGGAGCTGCTGCTAGGGTGGCTGGCAAAGCGCTATTTCTTGACCTGGGTGGTAGTTATAAGGGCATTTGCCTTATAATTCACTAAACTATGTTTGTGAAGTTTTTCTGTATCTATGCTTTATTTTACAATAAAAAAGTTAAAAAGAAAAGAAAAAAGAAATATGCTTGTTATTATCCCTTGACTTCAGACCTGCCACCATACCCTTATTTTTTTTTCAACCCTCAGAAAAGTTGTGCAACCCTCACCTTGGTCACAATACATCAGTAAATCAGGGTTATTGACCACAATAAAGGTTTCTCCATCTTTACTATGTGGCCGATGATAGCGGTAGTGCACAGGCAAAAAAGCTTGGAAACAATCAATGCACTGTGAATCTTGTCTGGCATAAATGAGAACTTCAGATTCCTTGGACAAATAGTTGGGAGCTTCTATATTAAAATTTTCTGAAACCATCACTGCCTATAAAAAAGAAAACAAATATTAATCCAAGAGAAAAAATGAATGAGGAAGATTTAAAAAACAAAAATAAAACCAGAAGACTGCTATACAGGTGAAAAGAAATTTCAAATTCATCTCCCTTATAAACAATTTCCATTCTCCATCCATCCTCAAGTTAAGAAAACACAGATGTGATCTGTGTTTAATAAAAGTTTGTTTACTAAAAGTAAACTGAGGAAATTATACTGAGATGCAAAATTTTCCCATAAAAATTATTTCTATGTAATCTCCCTATCAACCTTTCTTTAGGTGATAAAACAGGTAACAAGGAAAGAGAAATTTTGTGAATAAACGTAGCACTGTTCAGTAAGTATGAAAACTATGACAAAAACAGTTAACCCAGTATTGGGTAAAAACGATTGGTATCATTCTGGTAATTTCCTGTTCTTCAGAGAAGCAAGATGGTAGTGAGATAGATCACTGTGATCAGGAAGTCAAAGCAAAGGTCAGCACTCTTTCTATACTGGGTATAAAAAGGTAATGTGAAAACTGGCAAATGATTTCTTAAAAAAAGTAATATGGTAAAAACCATTTTAAACTAAGTATTCTACACCAGAAGTAAAAATGCACGTGGCAGAACTTAGTGCTAAGTTACAATATGCACATGTATATGCATTATGTATCCATATCCATATACATATTGGTATATAAAAAACACACACACACACATATACATGTTGATTAACTCATTGGCAAAGGTCAAGGAATTATATAACTTTATGAATCATAAAAAAACTCAAGAGGTGATCAAATTAAACCACTGTCCCAATGAGGATATTTTTCAGGTATCCAGCCACTGTTTGATTACTTTCAACGACTGAGTTATTTCATGTTATCTATTATTAAAAGGTTATCTCTTTTCTGAGTAGAAAATTGATGCTCTGGCCTGTAGCACTCACCAATTATCCTTGTTTACAATATCTGCAATACATCTATTCCTTATTTCATAAGGGTCATCAAACATCAGAGGTCCTCAATCACACTGCCTCCACTACATTTTCTCCTCCCCAAAGAAATATTCACAGTTCTCTCCATTCCTCATGACATGATTTCCAAATAATTCATCATATTAGTTACCTTTGGAAGTACTGAGGGACTACAGTAGCAATATGCCCTTCTTTAGCCAAAAACTGCATTAGCTTTTTAGCAGCCTTACTTCAGTGTGATATAGCTATAAATACATTCTTTTAAAAAAATTAATAGACTTTATTTTTTGGAGCAGTTTTAGGCTTACAGAAAAAAACAAGCAGAAAATACAGGCCCTCCATATACCTTCCTCACCCTCCACACACCCTCACACAATTTTCCTATTATTAACATAAGTGTAGTACAGCGATTTTCAAATGGTGCACAAGAATTTTTAAAACATGCAATACCTGATTATTTAGTCAGGACCATTAACCTCTTTTCACCTAGATAGTCAAATAAAAAAATGACGACAACACAATAGCCATCTGGTATGAATGAATCGAAATTATACCTGTTTTTTTGTAGAAATTTTAGTAATTAATTTAGGTGTGCCATGAGATAAAAATGGTTGAAAATCATTGCTGGTGTAGTACATTTGTTACATCTGATAAACCAATAGTGATACATTATTATTAACTAGAGTCTGTAGTTTTAAAGTTAGGGTTCATTCTTTATTTTGTACATTCTATGGATTTTGACAAATATAAAATGACATGTGTCCACCATTAAAGTATCATACAGAATATTTTTCATTTAAACTTTTTGCAGAAAACTTTAAGTCCCATCCTATTTTTTCAAGTAATTAACTTTTAATCAATTAAATGTTGGGCTTTAGATTTATGTCTGTTAAATTTTATCTTTCTGGCTAAAGTCCATTTTTTCCTAGACTGTTGATACTTAATTGAAATCCCATTCTGTCAACCAGTAGTTATGTAACATTTATGAATTTAACTATGTCTTCTGTATTTTTATATAAGGATAAAAATGTTAGCCAGGAAGGTAAAGAGCAAAGTCCTACAGAATATTACAAGACCTTCTGCTAGAAATTTTATTTTTTACTACTTTTTAAGCTTTTGTTTTGTTTTTAATATGTTTTTACTGATTTCAGGGAGAGGGAGGGAGAGGGAGAGAGAGACAGACAGAAACATCAATGACAAGAGAGTCATTGATCAGCTGTCTCCTGCATGCCCCACACATGGATCGAGTCCAAACCTGGGCATGTGACCTGATCACACAGGTCGATGCTCAGCCGCTGAGCCATGCCAGCTGGGCTATTTTTTATTATTATTGGTTTTAGAGAGGGGGGAAGGGAGAGAGAAAAATAGAAACATCAATGTGAGAGAGATACATCAATCGGCTAACTCCCATACATGCCCCAACTGGAGATGGAACCCGAAACCTGGGTATGTGTCCTGACTGGGAATCAAACCACGATTTTCTGCATCACAGGTCAATGCTCAACTGCTGAGCCACACCGGCCAGAGCTAGAAATTTTTTGTAATTGATTTTTTTTTTAAATGTTATTGTTTAAAATATTACAGATGTCCCTTTTTCTCCCCAATGACCCATTCCACCCCATTCCTTCCCCCTCCCCAGTCCCTCTGTAATCGATTTTAGAGAGACAGGAAGAAGAAGAGAGAGGGGGAGGAGGGAGAGAGCGGAAGGAGGGGAGAGAAACACTAATTTGTCATTCCACTTATTTATTCATTTCTTGGTTGATTCCTGTACGTGCCCTGACTGAAGATAGAGCCTGCAACCTTGGAGTATCAGGACAACACTTTAATCAACTGAACTACCCAACCAGGGCCTAGAAATTTTTTAATGAACTCTTTTTGTGTACAACTAGATACAAATCAAAATAACACAGCCCAACTTTTTCTATCTTGTCAACAAGGATGTATATATGACCTGATATTAATAAAGGTATCTTTCTTTGAGTATTTACTATTGCCAAGTATTTCACAAAATAGCTTATATACATTATCTCTAACTTTCACAAGAATCTTATCAGGTATGAACTGTTAGCTCTGCTTTGTGTGTTACATTCCATTGAACTGGCTCCAACTCCTAGTGACCCTCTGAGTGAATGATGTCCACAATGTCCTATCCTTAACAGCCCTGCTCAACTCCTGTAGAGTCATGCCTAGGGCTTCTTTTATGGAGTAAATCCATCTCATATTTGCCCTTTCTCTTTTCCTGCTGCCTTAATACTTTCCCCAGCATTGTTGTCTTTTCCAAAGAACCCTGCGTTCTCAGAATGGGCCCAAAGTAGGGCAGCTTGAGTGTTGTCATTTATGCCTCCAGCGATGTTTCAGGCTTAATTTGCTCTAGGACCCACTTGTTTACCTTTTAGGAAGTCCAGGGTATCTGTAGAGCTCTCCTCCAGCAACGTATTTCAAATGAATCAATTTTCTCCCCATCAGCCTTCGTCGTCCAACTTTTGCATCCATACATAGTAGTGGGAGTATGAGGGTGTGGATGATCTTAGTCTTGGCCTCTAATGATAACATCTTTGCTCTTGGTGATCTTTCCTAATTCTTCCATTGCTGCCAAGCCTCAGCCTCGTGATTTTTTTTTTTTTTTTAATATATCTTTATTGATTTCAGAGAGAGGAAAGGAGAGGGCGAGAGAGAGANGGGCCATGGCTTTTTTTTTTTTTTTTTTAATATATCTTTATTGATTTCAGAGAGAGGAAAGGAGAGGGCGAGAGAGAGAAACATCAATGATGAGAGAGTCATTGATCGGCTGCCTCGTGCACGTCCCGACTGGGGATCGAGCCCACAACCCGGGCATGTGCCCTGACTGGGAATTGAAGCTTGATTTCCTGGATCCCAGGTCAACGCTCAACCGCTGAGATGCTCGGCTGGGCTCCTCTTGATTTTTCTTTTTTTTTTTTTTTAAATATATCTTTATTGATTTCAGAGAGAGGAAAGGAGAGGGAGAGAGAGAGATAGAAACATCAATGGTGAGAAAGTCATTGATCGAGCCCGCAACCCAGGCATGTGCCCTGACCGGGAATCGAACCCTGATCACCTGGATCCTAGGTCGACCCTCAACCGCTGAGCCACGCCCAGCCGGGCTCCTCTTGATTTCTTGACTGCAGTTTCCATTTGAATTAATGACTGAACCAAGGTAAGCAAAAGCTTAACAATTTCAATGTCTTCACTGTCTATGTTAAAGTTGTGTATCTCTTCTGTAGTCAATTCCCAGTCAGGGCACATACCTAGGTTGAGGGTTCGTCCCTGGTCAGGTCCCATATGGGAGGCAACCCATCAATGTTTCTCCCATATCGATGCTCCTCTCTCTCTAAAATCAATAAAAACATATCCTCAGGTGAGGATTAAAAAATAATAAAATTCATATACAGATTATAATCTCATGAACTAAGACATAAGACAGTGGTTCCCAATTTTCTTAATAAGAATCACCAGAGTCATTAAAAGTAGATTTTGAGGTCCAATCTAGAACTTCTGAATTAAGACTTCCCAGGAAGACAATAAACTGCAGAAGAAGTACCCCCAGGTGATTCTTTTTTTATTATTGATTTTAGAGAGAGGAAGGGAAAGGGAGAGAAACATCGACTGGTTGCCTCCCATATGCACCCCGACCAGGGTAACTTGCAACCTGGGTATGTGACCCTGACCAGAAATCAAACCCAAAACCCTTTGGTGCATGGGAAGATGCTCAACCAACTAGTCACACTGGCCAGGGCCTCCCAGGGATTCTTATTAAAGTTAGGGAAGCTCTTAACTAAGGAGTAAGATTCATTTCTGGAAAGAACTTTGGATTCATTTCTTGGCTCTTCTTTCAGTTACCTAAGTGATCCTAGATAAGGTTGGCCTCTTTGTGCTTCCTTATCTGTAAAATGGAAATACTTCTTCCAGGGTTGTTATAAAGATTAATATATGTAGCCCGGCCGGGAGTGGCTCAGCGGTTGAGCATCGACCTAGGATCCAGGCGATTGGGGTTCGATTCCCGG